CCCCCTATGAATAATAGGGGCGCCTTGTTTGCCCTGTCAGAACAGCACATCACCTCGCTCGCAGTCAGGTAATGTTGTGAGCTCTCAGCCCTGCCGCTGTCAAACTGAGAGTCTCAGTGACGGGGCTGAGCGCTCATACGTTTCCTCGATCGTCTGTACGGTCCATCCACTCGGTCTTCTGGAGCTCTGCCCACCAGCCAATGAGAAGAGACCTCACCCCTTCCATCCACCACACGAGGATCTCTGGCTGGGAGTTCGGAGTTTAACGAGGGCTCTTTGGGGATCTCACCAGGGCTCTGAGGGGTCTCACCAGGCTGGTGAGACCCCACAGAGCCCTGGTGAGACCCTACAGAGCCCTGGTTTATTCAGGGCTCTGTGGGGTCTCACCAGGACTCTTTGGGGGTCTCACCAGCCTGGTTAAACCCCACAGAGACCTGGTGAGACCCCACAGGCCTGAGTGGGGCCTCATGTTTAGGTTTCGCCTAAGGCCTCGCAAACTCTAGAGCCGCCTCTGATCACAGGAGTACCAAGCAGCTGGTGCCCAAGGTTGAAGAAGGGCCTGACGCTGGGGTAGGGGAAGCCTTTGCAGAGAACAGCAAACCATCCCCCGGTTTGTTTAATTTAGGTCATTCTGTTATCTTCGGCATGTTGCTTTTTGTTCTGTACAGTAATTGCTAGATAGACATTGGGATATATTCCATTATAGTGCAGTGCACACTGTGGCATCTGAAGCATTAAGAGACTAATGTCACTCTGCATTTCCCCTCTTTTGTAGATCACAGTGCAGAGAGAGAGTGGTTTGGATGTGAGTTCACCAAAGCATGGAAAGGTGGATCCAGATAACACGCCCCATGTTGGTGGAAATACTTGGGCTGGTGGAACTGGTTTGTATTATCTATAATTTAAAATACATCAGTAAGATATCAAAATATACAGTATTGTTTATAAATAACTCTAAAACATAATATGTGTGTTCCATGTATAAATATACCCATTCAAAACAGGCACTTCCCAAAAGTACTCCCCCAGGTGATTAGAGGCCTCACCCCAAACTTAGTCAAAAAACTACACATTATACAACCTAGGTTGTGCTGGGGTTTTTTTGAGGGTACTCATATAGTTATAATTCGTACAATTTTGTTGATGTTCATATAAAAGATTTATTGCATAATTATAAATATTAAAAACAATGCTCATATATATACATGATTCTTATAACCCTAAAATTATTACTACTTTTCACATTTCATAATATTTTATATATAATTCATAATTCATATTTCACTATGTATATTCATAATTCCTTGATTTTCATATGCAGTGTTGTATTGCTTTGTTAGTCCCCTACGCGTTACGCTCGTAGGCTTCTTCAGGGGGATCGGTATAAATCTATTTGTAAATACATGATACATTGTTCATCAACATGTTTATATGCCATTTCATAATACATTTGTAAATCATATTTTCCAGTTTTAAATGTTTCCATTCAGCTATATACATTTATTCTTAGTATGATTGAATTGTACAGCCACTTACCTAGGGGTCAAGTATCATGGAGGGACCTAACACCAGGGGGACAGGAGCAACTCTCATCACCCCCAGAAAGAAACATACGGCGGAGCCACAGACGCACAAAGGGTCCAGGGAAGCTCCAATATCTAAAACATAACCGTGATGATAGATATAATCTGAGTGTTACAGCTTAGTATCCATAGTGATTCATAAGTTTGTGTACCTATATCATAGACTCATCCATTTACCTCTTCGTTATAACCTCAGTTGCACCAATGTGTGTCATAATGACTTAGTTTTATGCGAAATACCCTTTAGTGTCCCATATATTAGTGATTGTTATTCTTTTCAAAAGAGGTGTCAGTAATCTTGGTGTCCCTTTATTTCTTACTGTGTATAGTTATAAATCACCAACCTTTCATGTTATCATTCCTCCTCATATATTATATACTTAATGTGCCATATATATAGATCCCATCCAATGCCCTTAAATTACAGTGTATCTCCTCTCTAATCCTCCCCTTTGTTATATTCCTATTCCACTGCAAGGTGTGCCAATTTGATAACTACAAATCCATTTTGTTAAACAGTGCCCAAAATACCCTCACCAAATTGTACGAATTATAACTATATGAGTACCCTCAAAAAAAACCCTGCACAACCTAGGTTGTATAATGTGTAGTTTTTTGACCATGTATAAATATAATTATAAAAGATGTTTCAACAATGAACAATTAGCCATACGCTATTGCACTGATCAATAATCCTAAATATAGTCAGAAAAAGGACTAGGACTATTTTTACCCTTGGCAGAGGCATACTTTTGTGCACTATTTTTTACTATTTAGGCAACATGCACTTTTATTTAAAAGTGAACTATGGGGTAACCTTTTTTTCCCATAGTTCTCTTCAAGGTCACTGGAGGACATATACTAACGTCCTCCCGTGACCCAAAACTCAACAGCCCGCTATATGCTGGGAGCCCTACATCCAGGACGGATCCCGACAATACTTTCGAGATCCACCCCGCTAGCTAATTGACAGCGGGCTCTGCTTATCTAGAGGCAGAGCCAGCTATGCCGGCCCCATCCGTTCCTCCAGTCCGCTATTTTGCTTTTAAAATAGAAAAAGAGATTGAGGACACAGAGTCCTCAATCTCTTTTTCTGGAGCCCCTGTCATGCATGAACAGGAAGTCTCTGTACTGAGTCTTCCTGTCCATTCATAAACTGTGGATATAGTATAAGTTACTATGTCCACAATCATAAATACTCTCTTTTACACAATTTTTTTTCTGAAATTTTCCTGCAAGACTGTTCTGGCAAGTTTCCCTACTGCTGCTCTAAGTCACTGCCTCCAGCAGGTATCCGGATCGGTTTTCTCCTCGGTAGCGCCTTGGTGGACTGGGAAGAAGATGTGGAGCTGGCCTGTAGTGTGCTCATTCACTGAACCCTGTGTTCAGTGCCTTCCTTGGCACTTGATGCAGCATATATTGTTAACCACAAGGTGCTTTACAAGTCCAGGGCCGTGGTCCATGTATGGAGCCCCAAACCTGAGGACCCCTAAGGGGTATGCTTACCAGAAGGGTGAAGAACAGATGACATGTCCCCACTGACCGCTGTGCGTCTATGGTAAGGATCAACAGCCCCTAAGGTAAGCCTCAGTCAGCCCCCAGAGGTGCCCAGAGAGTAGCCCCAGTTCTCTAATGGGTTAGGTGTGCAACTCTGCTGCCACTTAAGTGCCACATTTTTTGCGGTAGTTTAAAAAAAAAATGTTTCCGCCATTAGTTGTTTCCCTTGTGGCTTAAGGGCCAGGAATTGCATCTGTGCAGCCTTCTTCCCGGGTTCTGTACTGTGCATGCACCCACCATTTTCTCTCCTGACACACACTTCTTGCTGCTGCACAGGCACAAGGGGGAAACCACACTACGGCACAGCACTGCTGTTACAAGTCTGGGTCACCTTGCTGCATACATTGTCTGGCACAGAGCACCCTTCTCATCACTGGCCAGGATTTTCGTGGGGGGAATGCACATGGCTAATCATAGGGTTACTATGGCAAGGTGGCGTGTGGGCCACACAGCCTGATAGTGGCTCTAGCTAGGGTTCTACCTTCTCTGGGGACCCTATTTTTGTTAGTCCCATGCTGTGCTCCTTATCCCCTTCACTGCTAGCACCAGGGGCCCCCTCTGCTCCCTCCTGGGCACCCTCCTCGGGTTAAATATCTAGAGAATGCATCGCCGTTATAGCAGGTTCTGTGTGGGAAATTGCTTATCCCATTGTTACAGCATCTATCTTAGACCTGAAGATCCTCAATTGGTTCCTGTGGATTCAAAAGTTCCAGATGGAATCTCTCCACTCTGTCATTGCCTCCCGCAAACCAGGAGATTGGCCCCGGTGGGCATTAAGGATATATGTTTACACATAATTTTCCCTGCCCACCTGAGTTCTGCTGTAGGCACGTAGCATTTCCAATTTGTTGGATGATATAGACCCTACAGGGCTTCAGATGGATCCTGAACCTCCAGAAATCAGCGCAGGAGCCTTCCCAATGTTTGCAAAACTGTAGTAATACCAGTTTTTTGGTCAGCTGTGTTGCCCAGAAACCATATGGAGTGTAAACCAGTTAGTCATTTTATGCAGCTGAATTTCAGTTAGCAGTAAAATATTAGTATAATGCGCCCCCCAGCCCCTCCTACCCCTAGATAGTAAGGATTTATAGCCTAGTCTTGGTGGATGTAGAGTAGAGCAATACTTACCTAATTCCTCACTCACAGCGGGTCCTCTCCTCCGCTCCCCTCCACACCAAGTATGTGGGTGAACTGTGAACATCCTCATATACAATGCAGAACCACTGGTCCTCCTGAAAATTAGGTAATAAGGCCACACAGGTCATGACTGAATGGCAAGCGAAGAGGAGTAGTGGCCAGTCTTACAGTTAAAAGGAAGCCTGTGGGAGTGAAGATTAAGGTAAGTTTTCCTCTACTTTACACACTAAACAAGCTAAAAAACCTGTCTGGGGGAGGAAGTGGGGTTGGAAGGGGGGGGGGAATGACACCAATATTTTAAAGCTGACTGGAGTCCAACTCCTCCAGTGATGTTATTTATAGTATTTGTTATTTTTCCTAACTTGTAGTAGATCCAATTCCTATCATAATCGTGGTAGTTTTGTTCCCAAACATTCCAACAGTTATTTATTATAAATTAGACATTTCAAAACAAGCATATCAGTACCTCACACTTTGTTTTGACATACTATATATCACATCAGTTATTTTCCTTTCCCTCAGGAGAAATTTGTTATTCAATTAGCATGTATTCAGCACATTGTTTTGCACACGTTTCCTCTTGCAATGCTGGCTTGCTGTCGTGTCTATGCGACACTGAAGCTTCATTCTTACTTTTCCTTTGCCCTACTCATTACTGTTGTCTCTGATCTTAACCAGCATTACAACTCATAATCCTGGGTCTTCACAAGTCAAGTCTCACACCTGTGCAGTGTGCAGCTGGAGGCAGGGGTGCTAGCCTGTAGTTGAGGATCCCGGGCCTGTCGTGTGATCATGTCTATTATGTAAGACATGACTCTAGGAATGCTTTTATTTTAATGATCCCTCACAAGAGTAACCTTTCTATTGGGTCAGTGCCTTCATTTTCACTGATTCATTAGGAAAACAGCTGCTGCAATGTTCTTATCAAGCCTGGATGATCTACTAAGTGTTATGAACTCATTGATCATCCTGCTCTGTATTATTTTTTTCTGTTAATAATGTGTGCAGTCTGCACTAATAGAACAAATTCTGTTCTATTACATTTTTAAAATGTTTATGATTTAGCTGATATTCTTCTAAAATATATTCTGCTTGCATTTTTTGACTTTTTTTTTCTTGAATTTTTTTATATCCTATTCTGTCTTCCACAGTCTTGTACACTTAAACATTTTTATGCAGACATCAAAAGCAGTAATACATAAAAGCAAATGTAGTCGGCAGCTTGTATGCTACTTTGAATGTCTCAATTTGTTTTTGTTATTTTTTTAATCTTTTTATTTACACAGTGCATTTAGTTTTAATCAGCCTTTATTCCTATAGTGTTTCATTTATCACTGCACATTTTCATGCTTTGAGTTTATTGCACAAGAGGACACAAAACCGATTTACAGTGTTGTATTGTTTTAAAGCAGAAGTTGAGAACTGAAGGAAAAACTTCTAATGCTGCCTTTTATGTTGACAAACAGGCAAATGACAGAAGACCTGCTTAGTGCAGCAATTTCCCTTCTGCTTGTAAAATAAAAAGTTGGATCAAAGCCAATTAGTGCGTTACCCTGTCACATTGCCAGTGGAATTCAGTCAGTTTACGAAAGCCTGAAGATCACATT